GTCAGTGCTGTAGAAAGGAACCAGAAATTTCCACCTGAAGACCTTCAGCAAGTGGAAAAGTTGCAAAGAACAGACAGACACATCCTCTGTGCATTTCTCCAGTGTATAAAGAACACCCACAATTGAGGTGGGGAAGATATAGCTGCACCTTAAGAGGTGGTGGTAGTGGTGGTCATGGTGGTAGAGAGGAAGAGGAGGAAGAGGAGGACGAGGATGAGGACAAGGACAAGGACGAGGAGGAGGAAGAAAAAGAGACCACAGATATGTCTGACTTGGAAAAGGCAGGGGCCTGTACCTGAAGTAGGAAACGTTAAGGGACTGTGCATGACAGAGAAGGTACAGTGTGTCTGAGCGTACATGATGGAGCTATATTTGATGTGGAGAATGTGAGGGAGCTGTGTATGACGTAGATAAAGTGAAGGTTGTAATTGAGGTGGAGAGTGAAGAATCATGCCTGAGACCTTGAAGGAGGGAGACGAACTATGCCTAAGGTGGAGGTGATGGATTGTGAGTGAAGTGGAGATGGTCCGGGAGGATTCTACCTGAGGTGAAAAAAAACATTCGCTTTAGAGCAGAGTTATAGGCAAGGGACTGTACATAGGTTGGAGAAGACAGGAGCTTTCCCTGTAGTAGACAAGGCAGGAGGCTATACTTGGAGTGGGGACAGAAGCGTAGACACAACTACATGTGTCCTGTGAGCCTGAAGAATAAAAGGCTCCAGGCCTTATTTTACACCTCCAATACACATGGCATTTCATATCACCTCTCAGCTTACAAATCCGATTCAAATCAGGCAGCAGGTAAAGATCACATCTCTGCCATCTTGACAGGTCGTGGTAAACTCACAGGTTTTACAGCCTGGTTCAAAGTTTTCCTTACAACTATTTCCTCAGGCACTGGCCCACTCACTTTTCACAACACTGTGAAGAATATTTGTCCTGATTCTCTGAAAGGCAGTCATGATCCAGAAAAGCTAAGCAACATGTTCAAGGCCACAGAGTAAATACATTAAATAACTAGCCAGGTCTGCAACTTGTCAATAGGATCTGGATGCTTTCCTGTCACACATCCTCAGGGGACCTGGAAACAGGGAATGGAGCGTCTTCTCCTTTGTGTTGTAATGGAGGCAACTACTGCCTGGTCTTGCACGGGCATACGACAAATGGACTCATTTGGCTTGATAGAGTGGGAGCCCTTCATGCCCCCTCCACAATGATGGATGCCTGGAGATGCGTAGCCCGCAGGTCTACAGGCCTCCACTCCCTCAGCTGTCACGGAGCACAGCACAGGTTCATTAAACCTGGATTATTTAATGATAGTTAATAAGATAAACTTCCTCCCAGAAGCCAATAGGAGTTGACACTGTCATCTCTTAACTGGTACTCAGGAGTTGATGAGGCACTTTCTGCCACCAGAGAGTGGGTCTTTAAGGCTCTTAATAATAATAGGTGTGCACAGTTGCCTGAGATGGAATCATATAAACATGGGATTTCTAAAATCAGGTTAACTCCTCAACACGCACACAAGGCAGTATGGAGTCTGTGTACCTAGAAAACTTCAGACCTCTGCTGAAAAGAGCACTCATCCTCAAAGTATTCCTAAGGCCCCAGACCTGGGTCCATCAGAGGCCCAGGAGCACATGGCTTAAATCAGGATCAACATCTGAAGCCATGCCCTTCAGACAATATATGCTTCAGAAAGGATCCAATCTAAGATACTTTATAGAGAGCAAAGAATTACTCTACTAGATACGGAGACTGCCCTGTCTGGAAGAATCGGGTTCTCAGTGATTTTATGTATTTACTTGGAATAAACTTGTCGATCAAAGGTATATACAAAATGCAGACTGGCCTGCAGGTTTGGATTTGCTGCTGTGGAGCTGTCGGCTGCAGGAGAGTGAGCCTATGAGCTGAGCTCCCTGACAGGCAGCTGGATGAACTATTTATTTTTGGCTAAGCAGATCCCAGGCTGGAATGAAGGCAGAAGACTCCTGCAGGTATCCAAAGAAGCCAGAGTCACATTCCTTACCCATAAATGTCCCCTTCACAACAGAAAGGTTATTAAAAACAAAAAGAAGGAAGAATTGATCGAAGTCACAAGCAGATAGAATGAAAACACATGCACACTATTATATGCTGAATATTGTTATTTATTTTATAATTCACTTGTAATATTTGTATTGCTGTTTTCATACACACTCATGCTGCATTTCCTAGTGGGGAACTGGATCTAAAAAGAAATCATTAATTGGTAGCTATGGTTTAATTATGTACATCTCTGTATATTGTGACATAACGCCAGAAGAAAAAGAAATGTGGGCTTGAAATCCAACTGCTGGTAAGTGAATTTGTGCTTTAACTCAAAGTCAGAAACTCGACAGATCAAGTGACAAGTTCTGTGCTAATTATCATAATGAATGTGGTCATGAAAGGCCAGACATGAATAAAATGCAGAAATCCCTTAGTGCTGAATTATCTCGGAAATATAGTGATTAACTTTCATTAGATACATGCAAAAATGTTTAGTTTTATTTGATAAATATTATCACAATTTCTATTGGAATAAATATTATTACTGTCACACATCTGAGCTTACCTAACCATCCTTTCTTCTTTGAAATGGTGGCTCTTAAATTAAGGTTTGGTGAATGTAGGATTTCTTAGCACTGTAGCAGTTACAACAAACCAGAACAGACAATGAATAATGTCTATAGTGGTATGTCAAGATGCAGTAACATATGGAGATGGGATCCCTAGGTGTACTGAAATAGAAAAATAAAAGGGAATGTTAATCAAGAGCAACAGGTTTCTGTACATAAACTACTGCATGTGAGTCCTCTTGAAAGCTACGGCTAACTGGAAGGGTCTAGCCAGGTAACCAAGAAACTATGTCTAATGATGAGAAGTTTTGTGGTGTGTGTCTATTGCTACCTCCACGTGGTTTTTGCTTAGTTAGCTTCAAGTTCTTGTACTTTTCAGCATAACCTAACTATCGTTCAACATTAAGTACCCTAGAAGGGTGTAGGCCACCATTACCTGAGTCAAAGATGCCGAGATGCTCACACTGTAGCAGAGCCAGCAGGTGAGAGCATAAGTTGGCTGTGAACAACAGTTTAGTCATGCACAAAGCTGCACCATCACCATGGTTGGCTCATTCCTATCACTCAGAGGATTTCACCCTTCAATCTAGAGTTAGAACATTCTCTTCCTAATGAATAGGTCTAATGTTCTCCCAGGAGACACAGCATCCCTTCAATGGGACATCCCTTGCTCGCAAATACCTATCAAAACAGCGACCTGATATGTAATGTGTGTGCGTGTTTCATGTCTGTGGATATCATTTTCTGGTATCTTCATAGGCCCTTGCTTATTAGCCCACTGGTTAATTCAACAAGTTATTATTTGTTAAATGAATATGCCTAAAGTTATTTTAAAACTGTTCACCAGAGCTCCATGAAATGGCTTATGAGATGGTCAAATATCAGGTAACATTCTACCAATACTGAAAAATATAAGAAACACATAAAGGTTTAGCATGCACTAGATTTCAGGATGTGTTTTGGGATGTTGGATCTTACAGAATCACTAGTATAACTCATTCTAAATATTCAGTTTAAAATTCCTTCACCTCCAAGTCTGAGAGCTGGATCAATGTCAGGAGTGACTTTTGCAAGTCAACTGTAGCTAATGGCAAAGTGGGATTTATGAATCCTGAGTTTGCTAGTACTGGCAAGATGTTACTTCTTTTGAACTCCTCTATAGTTCAAAGAATATTTGTAGGTAGTTAGCTCCACATTACTGCTTTCTCTCAAACAGAGAGATGACTGTCATGGGACAGTCCTTAATGAACAGGGAAGGCATCATGGAGAAGAGTGGGATCGAGGACCAGCTCCTGACAATGAAGGGAGAAGCTAAAGCCTGCTGTGCTCCTCATTCAAAGAGAAGGAGCACTCCAGTAAGAACACTAACCCACTAAGAGAAGGAGCACTCCAGTAAGAACACTAACCCACTAAGAGAAGGAGCACTCCAGTAAGAACACTAACCCACTAAGGAAATTGTCATTTCATTTGAGGCTTAATTTTAGTTGATTCGCTGTTTCAAGAGTCCTTTGACACTTAAACTCTTGCCCGGTTGAAAAGGTCCTAAATACATTTGAAATACCCGAGGGCCCTTGACAAGCATGCTGCTTTCAATGAGGCCATACCTGTCTTCATGCTGATGCTGACCTAATTCATCTGGGTCCTAGTTTGCTTTAATCTTCTTCCAGGGATTTCTCTCCTAAGAGATTAAACTTTCATCTAAGCTTGAATCAAGCAAGTGAAATGGACTCCTGACTCAGCCAAGGATAAGTCTGCTGCTTTTTTTCTCTTTAAGTAGCTAGCAGGGACTCCTCATAGTTAATCAATAAAATATCATGTGGCAGAAAGGATTAGGAAACAGAATGAGGTGTGCTTTCATAATTTAGAATTAGACTCCATTTAGGAATATGTACTGAAGATCCTTCTACCTTCCCTTCCACATCCCTTCCTCCTCCCGTTCCCCCTTCCTGAAATCAACAGCTAATATGTCTTACATTCTGACCTCAAGTGTTACACAGTGGTAATGGTCTGCAGAAAATAAACCCACAGTGCTTATAAGTGACCATTAGGATGTTGGGAACTTTCTTTAGTACTTTCTGACAGCACAGCGTCTTGAAGTGATGATCTTTCTTCAGCTGAAATTTGCCCAAAGAAAGCTTTGGCATATTTTGGCCTAATAGGATAAGCTCTGGATATCCTTTGCTCTTATCATACACAGCCTGGCATTGGAATGTTGACAGATAGAGAGCTGTGATGGGCACCGACACCTAGTGTTGACAATCCCAATGCCCATGCTCTGGGTAACCGCTTTGTAGTCACTTGAGATCACATATAGCCCAGACCTTGATGATTTCTTATGATCCATAAAATTGGTGGTGAATATCTTTGTATCCTGAACATGCTTCTTCTGCCTTTGCCACAGGAGGAGTGTGCCCTGGGTCCAACGATCCTTGTGTGGAGAAACCGTGTCCAGAAGATATGCAATGTGTGGGTTATGAGGCCAGCAGGAGACCATTTCTCTGCCAGTGTCCACCAGGGAAACTCGGAGAGTGTTCAGGTACAGAGTGGTATGAACAGGACTAGGTTGAGGCTCCTACTCTCCAGTGAATTTTCCTTGAGCAAATGTCTCTGATGAAACCCTTCCGGAAGACATGTTAACATGTATACAACACTTAACCTTCAAAATGAAACATGACCAATGTTCACTCTCATATTTAGTTGGGGCATGCCATAGCCAGTCCATGCTAAAGAGACATGAACATAAGACTTCTTTGTAATTGGAGACCATCTCATTGGTCCACAGTCACGTCTCATGGTCGATGAGAGTGTGAAGTTATGGAAGACTGAGTGCTGCTGTATGGACACAGCAGACACCACTACCCCCCACAAGAGTCAGAAGGCTGCACGAATCTGTAGCCAAAAAGGAAAATAAAAACCAAACCCAAAAGAAGGTAGATCTGAGCCAGTCTCATCAACATTCCATAGAAGAAGACCAGCTTTGAACACCAAGTAAGCCAGCTCTTCCCCGGGAAACTCTAGCTAATGCCATGTTGCAGAAAACTGAGCTGTTTGCCTCCCTATCTTAAAGAAGAAAAATTAATATGTATATCATTTTCATCCAAATAACCTTCTCCTTGTGGTCTTCGTCCAATTTTAACGCTTTTACTCATTTCTTTCACCTTATTTCACCTTTTTCTTCTCAAAGTATCTTCTTTCGTTTTCACCCCAGTAGGATCATCTTCTGTGGTAAGGTATATCAACATCTAGGCACAGTGATACCAATTTTGGAATCCAGGAGATAATGACTATCTCTTGTAAGGCAAACCCAACAGCATGGCTGTGGGTGATAAGTGATGGAAGAGATGATAATCATAGTACTGTTAGTGGCAATATGACTTATCATGCCTAAAGTGGAAAGCACTTTGCTGCATATTCTGTTTTAGAAGTCCAGCTTTTGTGAGATGTCCTATTATAAAAATGGGAACCAAACTCCGTCACAGTTGATATCCAGCAAAGACCAGACCATGAAATGCAGGGGAAATCTGGACGCTTGAGCAAGTCACTAAGGTAGCCCTACCCCAGCACACATGCTGCACACACAGCATCCTTTTCCACCAATTTCTAAACAGAGGATGTTCTGTTGCTGGTGACAATCACCCATTTGCTGAATTTTCATTCTCTCTGCTGTTCACTCTACAAAGCCATTAACCTTTTTGCTGCAGTGTAATGACAAAAATGCTAAGAAATCAAAAAGATGGTTAATTTAAAATCAGGCAAATTTAAAATCTGGAGGTGGGTTGGGCTACAGAGTCTAGGAAGGGGTAACTCCTCTTTGAGAAGCCAACAGCCACACCGTCTGGCGTGACTTACTTTCCTCTGAAAACCCCTTTTCTCCTAACTTCAAGCTTAAGCCTATACTTTTCAGAGAAGAGAGAGGAAGAGAGAGACAGACACAGAGACAGAGACAGAAAGAGAGAGACACAGACACAGACACAGACACAGACACAGACACAGACACAGACA